TGTGTGTGTGTGTGTGTGTGTGTGTGTGTGTGTGTGTGTGTGTCTGTCTGTCTGTGTGTGCATGTGCGCACGCGAGCGTGCGCGTGTGTACGTGTGTTTGTAGGCGTGTGGAAAGTCCTTAATCATTAAGAAAAACCACTCCAAACGACCCACATTAAAAATGTTTAAAACCCGTAATTTTTTCCCATCAAAGGTCGCCCTCCGTGGATCCACAAGTAATGCCGCCGGGATTACAATCAGATAGTTGTGGAGAGAGTGTCTCTGTACATTTTGTAGATTAACATTAGTTCACGTATCGTTAATGTTTTCGATAGCAGGCCGACACTCATCCATTCCCATTCATTATCCTCTTTAATTACCGACGCTGTAGTGTCCTAGATACGGTTATCACACCAAGTACGGTATTAGTATTTCAAGTCGGTGTTACCCGCATGTGTGATATGCAATGTAGGTCAATTAAACAAAGAAGTCTCAGAACACCCGTTCATGGATCTCGCATGTGTTTTTCTTATTGTGCTAGCCCCTTCAACATAACAAATGGCGACGAGGATAAAACAAACATAACTTACACCTTACAATAGTGCAAAATTGTTTGGAGGTAAGTGACAATAATTGACAATAATTGACAATTATCAAAATGACCTCAGCGGCAATTAGCCTGCCTTCCTTCGATCGTTTCGTCGTACACGGTGGGGAAGGTACCACAGGCACGAGGTGGCAGAAATGGCTCTCCCGGTTCAAGTTATTGCTGACAGCAATTGGCGTAAGCGACGCCGCGAGAAAGAAAGCTTTACTACTGCATTACGCTGGTGAAGACGTTTTCGATATATACGAAACATTCTCAGTTGCACAAAAAGGATCTGACACTGAAGCAGGATACAACATACTCTGCCAGTCCCTCACAACGCATTTTGCCCCTCAGAAAAATATTGATTATGAAACTTTCAAGTTCCGACAGGCGAGACAAGAAGCTGGCGAGAACATAGATTCTTTCTGCACCAGACAAAGAAAGCTAGCCGCCACATGCGATTTTCAAGACTCAGACAGAGAATTAAAATCTCAAATTTTACATCGCAAGTTCGCAACGCCTGCGCAGACGTGCTCTGCGAGATGACCTCGATTTACAAAACCTGCTCAAAGCAGCAAGGGCTCTCGAGATATCAGATGAACAAGCACAGGAAATTGAAGCGGATAGAAAGCCTGCCACTGTCTATAATATCAGCAAGCAGCACGCAGAAAAAGGGAAAGCTTCAAGATTCCCATCCGCCACACATCGCCTGTACCCCCCATCTCAGCCCTCACATCGTCGTTATCAACAAACGCACACCTAAATGAAAGCAGTGACACCTCAGAGGAAGACTACGTTTTCGGTGTCAAAACCAACCAGAAGACTCCCCAAGTGAACTTATATCTCTCAGGAGAGAGCATCCCTTTTCTAATTGACACTGGAGCATCTGTAAACATTTTAAATGAGCAATCCTACAAGAGCCTTAGCCATACACACAAGCTGACCCCCTCATCTACACGTCTCTTTGCATACGGCAGTAACAAACCACTGCAAGTCATTGGACAATTCGAGTCCACCTTAAAATACAAGAAACACCCCGTGCAAGCAACCTTCCATGTGGTTCGTTCACAAAAATCAGCGAAATGTGGCAATCTTTTAAGTGCAAAAACAGCAGAAGATATGGAACTTGTAAATTTCGCATTCAGTGCGACAACCACACCTACTCATTCTTTAACAAACAGTCTCTGCAGTGAATCCCCTGAGCTATTTAAAGGTCTCGGCAAATTAAAGGGCATCAAGGTCACACTGCATCAGGACCCGTCAGTCCAACCTGTCGCCCAACCACATCGCCGAATACCCTTTCACCTCAGAAAGAGAGTGGAGGAAGAGATCCAACGCCTAGAGCAGCTCGACATTATCGAGAAAGTAGATGGTCCGACACCTTGGATTTCTCCCATTGTCGTGGTGCCCAAACCCAAAAAACCTGGTGAAATTCGACTCTGTGTGGACATGCGTGCTCCCAACAAGGCAATCAAGAGAACACGCCATATCATGCCCACACTAGATGATATTCTGATGCGTTTAAATCAAGCCAAATGGTTCATCAAGCTTGACCTCAACCAAGGCTATCATCAACTGGAGCTTGATCAAGAATCAATAAACATAACTACACTTTCAACGCATATTGGCCTTCGTCGATACAAGCGACTGAATTTCGGTGTCACAAGCGCTGCAGAAATATTTCAGAACCACATTTCAGAAGTTTTCTCCGACATCAACAACTGCCTCAACACCAGTGACGACATCCTGGTCTACGGTAAAACGCAACAAGAACACGACAACTCTTTGAAGAAAGTCTTTGAGCGCCTGAAGGAGAAAAACCTCACACTGAACAAACAAAAATGCGAGTTCAATAAAAAAAAAAAAAAAAAAAAAAAAAAAAAAAAAAAAAAAAAAACTCCATTGAATTTTATGGATTTATCTTTGGAGGAGACGGCGTCTCTCCAGATCCCAAGAAAATCAAAGCAGTCCACGAAATGCCGGCACCAACGAATCAAAAGGAAGTTCGCAGCTTCCTAGGCATGACTAACTACGTCTCTCGGTTCATCAAGGACTATGCTGACCTCACAAAACCACTCAGAGACCTAACACGCAAAAATACACCCTGGTCGTGGTCCGAGGAACATCAGCAATCGTTCAACACACTCAAGGACATGATCACCTGTGACAAAGTCATGACCTACTTTGACCCCAATCTCCTCACTGAGATCACCGTTGATGCAAGTCCATTTGGACTTGGCTGCATTCTCTCACAGCGTGACAACAACAACGTTCACATAGTGGCATACGCAAGTCGTGCTTTGACTGATGTCGAGTCACGATACTCTCAAACCGAGCGAGAAGCTCTTGCCGTCGTCTGGGCGTGTGAACATTTCAACCTGTACTTACTTGGTCAACACTTCACAGTAATCTCTGACCACAAACCCCTTGAAGGAATCTTCAACAGCACAACATCCAGAACCTCAGCAAGAATTGAACGATGGAATCTCAGACTCCAACCTTACGACTTCACCCTACGCTACCAGCCAGGAGAGAATAATCCAGCTGACTTCCTCAGCAGACACCCTGTTGAGAAAAACGAAGTAACCATCCAAGGCTAGGAGGGATGTAGTGTCCTAGATACGGTTATCACACCAAGTACGGTATTAGTATTTCAAGTCGGTGTTACCCGCATGTGTGATATGCAATGTAGGTCAATT